TGTATTGTCAGCACAAAGGTCGACAGGTCAACAGTTGACACCTAATTGTTAACCTCTTATCACTCAAAATAAAGGTCGACAGGTCGACATCAAATTGCTACATCTTATCCATCACAACAAACGTCGACAGGTCGACAGTTGACACCTAACTGGGATAAAACAAATCATTAGTTGATACCCGTTCGGTTTCGTTTATAACTCAAAACAAAAGTTGACTGGTCGAAAGTTGACTATATCTCGGTATTCCGTTTATCCTTCTAACATCATCTCGAATTAATAGGGTGAATTCTGGAACCTTTCTTAGAGTTTAGTCCTCAAACCCATCGGAAAGATAAGGGTTAGTCCTCGAACCCATCTGAGAGATTAGGGGTAGTACTCGAATCCATCGGAAAGATTAAGGTTAATCCTCAAATCCACCCAAGAGATTAGGATTAGTGCTCAAATAATCCATCGACCTGTCAACCTGTCAACCCGTCGACTCATCTACCTGTCGACATGTCAACTCGTCAACCCTTCTTTTAAAACAACTTTGACCTGTCAAGCAAACAATCTGTCAAGTTTTCGACCTATCAACCCGTCTACCTGTCTTCCTGAATACATGTAGATCTGTCAAGCAAACAATCTGGTAAAATGTCGACTTGTCTATCTGTCGACCTGTCAACCCGTCGACTGGTACCTGTCGACCTGTCCACCTGTTTACAAGCCCACATTTTTACCGAAAAAATTTCTTACGCTTCATACAATTTCTCCAAATTTTCTCATATTCTTTAGCATTGCACATTAATTCTTCAGCCCTTTGGCGTATGAAAATATTTACCGGTACCACTTATCCATATATCCTAGTTGAGCCGCAGTGACCAGGTAAAAGAAGTCAGGTGTAACAAATACAAAGGGTTTAATTACCCAGAGCTGACATAAGAGACGGAAAAAAATAAGGCGTATACCTATTTACGAGTCGTGTTCAGCTTTAATACCAATCACCAAGTCTAAGTTTTATAGTTACTTCCCGTTCATAAGAAAAGCTGTGTGGCCCGCCCTCTTTTTAGCACTGGAGCAACTTTAGAAGTAAATAGTTAAGAACGCAGCGTAAAAAAGAGAATTGAACAAATTATTGAGTTTTGATACATACTAGTATATCATTTAATATTTCTTAGATTGATGAGACATAGGCTTTTCTGATTGGTTGCAAAAAGAATTTTTTGATATCCGCATCAAAACAATTTTCACAAATTAGTTGGAACTACTTTATTTAAGGTGCATAATAGCTGACTTTTCTTATTTCCCCTTCAACAGGTTTTTTTTAAAGAAATATGAATTAATTTTTGCGCTGTTTTCCTGAATTTTAAAACTTATCCAGTAGTTCCAAAGTTATTTTCTACTTTCGATTCTTTTCGAATTATCCCAAGTTGGTAGAGGGCTCGTTCCGTGATCGGAAGGTCGTGAGTTTGTACCTCGGCAGCGACTGACTTAAGTTAATAAAATTAGGTAGCAACTATTCCTTAGATAAACGCTAAGTGAAAGTTACTGGTCTTTCGGTTGAGACCTTAAAAACAGAGGCCCCGTGTCGCGGCAGGCGGTGGCACGATAAAGACCCCCCCCCCCCCTGTTCAACGGCCCTAAGTGTCGAGTAAAGGTAAACATTTGAAGCCCTTCATCGGAATATGGTGGAGTCTCTATAAGAGTAAAAAATTCTTGAATTGGACATAAAACAACTTCCAATCAATCAATAGAATTATCCTCTTTTGCTTAAGGAATCAGATCGTCTGTATAACAAAGAAAGAAACCATAATATTGATGTTGAGTGCCTGCCTTTGAGATAACCTGTATGAAATATAGAACTGTATTCTACCAAAACGTAGCTGCAATAATGTAGCCCTCTCCGATATTTTTTAATCTTATATTTTCAGGAGAGGGCTACAATTCCTCTGCATCTCCGTAATGGTGCAAATATATTTTTTAGATACGGGCGACTGCAGGCAAAATAAATTGTTTTTGCATTCAACTCACTTCCAATAAGACGGAATATTTATTCACCATCAACATCGTAGTCCTTTATACGCGAAAACCAAGTAAAATAAATCTGCGTGTTTACCAGTCGTTCTCCTCAGAAGCCATGACAGTTCTCGCGTGATGTACAGAGACTTTCGCTTGAAATTTAGAATCACTAGATAAAGTAAATGTCGGTGTTGAAAAATGTTTGTGTTGTATGATATCACTAAACATCGATAAATAAAAGCATTCCATGTGATATTTTTTTCATAAACAGTGATATTTATGCTTAAAATAAGGGAAATCCTAAAAGATCCGCTCCCCTAGATCTCGAATTCTCATTGGTTGTCCCAAAATAAAATCGAGCAAGGTCAGTAAACATGGCGGATAAATTCAAGTTGTGATGTCGACATACACGAAAAAAAAAAAAACGATGTACGGATTGTTCTATATATTTTTGGACCAATTCATTTCTTGCATAACTACATTTTATGAGTTCAGGTAAGATATGTTAATACAATACCCACTTACTGATAATTTGAGCCGAAATTTGTGCGGTAGTGAATCACTCCCGCACTAGCACCATTGCGGAGATCCTAAGGAGTTGTAGCCCTCTCCCAAAAAAAAAATCGGAGAGGGCTACATTATTGCAACTACCAAAACGGGGAAATGCCGTTAATCTGTTTATTTTCAGGAAATACATTTGTAATGATTTGTGCCGTGGATATCGACATGTAAAACATCTGACTAGGTCCCGTGTTCGATTCCCTGTTAAGGCATACATTTTTTCCTTTCTTGTTACACATGCATGATAAATCACCACTGCTCGAGGACGGAATCCTTTAGTGTTAAACAATCAACAAGTGACTGTACCAGATTTTACAGCCAGGTGTGATACGTATATATGTTGGGTTTTAAATTCAGATGAACAAATGCGCAAATGAAATCCAAAAATTTCTTGACCTAGAAAGAGGTGTCAGGGTTATTTGGAGTAGGTTCCCTTTACATTTACAACCTCTAAAATATCAGCCTACCGGGAAATATTCGAAGTACATAAACATTCAATAGGATATAGCAAAAAGTAATAATATAACTAGTAAATCATTTTTGTGTAATGTTTAGAGACAGCTGGTAATGACACGACGAAGGATGATGTGACATACGGCCCCCGGTAAATTGACAAAAAATTAAATATTTAAATTTTACTCAAAATTTTGCATGCACTTAATCACTGATATGTATACCCTCATAAAATACTACTTTTACCGAAAACAGAAACATGATTTGGAAGATATATGTCTTTAATTTGAGTAGGGGTACCATGTTTACATCCAATACCCATTGAATTTTGGCCCCGCCTAACTCTTTGAAGCCCTTAAAATATACGAGCGCAAGTAGGTACATTTTTCTCCTTTGGCTGGTCACTGTCTTTTATTGAAATCTACCTATATGTGAAAGGAGAAAAATGTACCTAACTGCGCTCACATGTTGTTTGTAAAATTGTAAAATCTAGCTGGCCTTTCCCATTATGAACAGATCGACGAAACTATTTTTTCTGACCTAAGAATAAATTCATATGCTAATCGAGGCACTAGCGATACTTTCTTACTGACCAATCAGCTAAATGAGTTGCATAACTAGTGAGTACCACAAAAATACTAAGGACATTTTAAGCTTGGAAAAAATATTGGTTTTTTTAACCTGCTTTCCGATAAACATTTTTAATGCATTTGAATCACAGATTAGACACGGATTTACAATTTCCCAGCTCACAATCACAAACAATTGATTTATAAATATACATAGTTTAAAGTCTTGTAAAGCGTTCGGTGGGCAATTCGCTAGGTCTCCCGAGAATCAGTGAATAGAAGTTTCAAGTGCATTTCTTGACCAAAAACGGTAAACACTGAGGTTCCATGCGTATTATTATGTATAAATAGCCTTTGCTGACCATTAAAAGTTTGAAATGTAGTAGAGATAATGTGTAAATTGACCTAAACCACGTGCCTGTGATAAAATGTATACATGTAGTAAATCAGCATGTTTTGTCGTTCTGTCTTTGGATTGGACAATTGTTCTCGTTAAGCGACTATGTGCGAAATAATAACAACAGCCAAATAAGGTAGATTCCTCGGACATGCATATCCCTCTATTGTACTAAGACCAGCCTATTCTCTTTTCATAAAAGAACATATTGTCACAAACCAGGCCGAATTTTGCTGTCATAGGGTCAAAAAAAATCTTAGATAATGCAGTAATCCTTATAATTAAAATTTGTCGGAACTATTGAAACTATTCAAAGGCGTCGTATTTATTCATTCATGTATGAAAACTATCAAAATCGTTGTAGATTAAATATAATTCGCCGTAGAAAAAAGGGCCCCAGGTACCAGTTATGTCACATCATCCTTTGTGAACGTTTCGTTGTTTGTTCGTTATGTATTTCTCCGCGTATATGAATATTTAGGTTAAATATTGTTAAAGTTAAGCTATATGTTGGGCAATCATTTGTTTTAATGTTGAATCTCATCATGGAAAGATAAATATTAAATGATAAGAAATAAATCATATTTTTTTTATAGACGTATCAAAGAAAACTTGGATTTGCTGCAATAATACTAAATTGAAAATAAAATCCACTGTAAACACTCCTATTGTTTGGTCCGCTTTTAAAAAAACCTTGAAAGGGTTAGATACGTATTTTTTTTACTGTTTTTTAAATAATTTTTATTTATTTATTTATTTATTTTTGTTTGTTTTTATTTCAATTTTCGTTTTACTATGAAGAATAAAATATTTGTGAAAACATTCATTAATTGATAAATGGAGATAAAGAAATCAAATAATTAACATGCTTTTGATCACTAATTTCGTTTAATGCTGCAGTTTCATCCATGGTTAAATTTTCTGATGTGGAGAACCCTTTTTACATTTATCACTAACGTTCTTAACAAGGATAATTTTCCTAACAGTTACTGCATTCATAGCCGGTTAGAGAAAAAAAAATGTACCTGACAAATCTCCGTTTCTCACAAAAAATATGTGTTCGTAGACATGAAGTTCCCTTGTTGATTTTATCTCCTCAATTTCATCAAGACTTTTCCCCATTAATCTGTATAGAAGTGTCGTCTTCCCTGCTCCAGCACATCCAACCACGATCCCACGTGCATGACGAACTGTTGTCTTTCTTTTTTTCATGTATGCCATAAATCTTTCAGGTGGGATATTAACAGCACCTGAAAAACAAGGAAAAGTAATCTGATCAGTTTAAAAACCTTTATCAGGAAGTAAGTTATACCGGATTCGTTATATTTTGAAATGGATTCTAAAATTGTTATCTATTCTTTCGTATATAACGTCTTTTACAAGGTCTTTAAAACACAGACAATTTCTAAAACGAGACAGGCCATTGCCAAATAATTAGATGAAACAAGGGTATCAACAGTCTTGCTTAAAGTCATCATTTCGCAAGTTCTGTGGTCGATACAATGATTTTGTCAGCAAATGCAATCCTTCATTTAGTCGACTGACTGATGTTTTTCATACTAATTACTAGGTCATTATTTACACACTGAATTGTCTATGGAACTTTCTGTTTGCCCTCCCTATCATGACAATGAGCACATGGCGGGTGTGACCGGTCGACAGGGGATGCTTACTCCTCCTTGGCACCTGATCCCACCTCTGATAATTTTAAGAGGTCCATGTTTGCTCTGCACCCGATTTGTATTGTTTTGTTTCAGTGGACTTTTGAGTTTGATTACTGTTCGTTATCTCCAAATAGAGTACTCCTCAGTAGGAATATATACAAATTTTACCAATAAATTTATTGGGAAAACCTACTACATACATGTAAATGTAATAGTCTTTCGATATATAATTATATTCACAACTTATAGTGTTATCAGTGATTTACCATTATTTCAATTATGACCATTTACACGAAAGCTTTTCTTATGGTCATGTAGCTAAAATCGCCTCCTTTTTTTCTTAACATCGGGCTCGATGCTATATGATGTTCTAGAAGCTTCCGTCAATATAAAGATTGGTGAATGACGAAAATATTTTTCACATTTCCCTTTTTAATCGGTTATCAAAACTTATTTCTTTTATATCATTTAAATCGAGTTTTAATTGAATAATTCAGTGATGACGTTTTATGTAATAAATAAACGATTGCTTGTTGTCAGTTTCATTAAAAATTGCCAGTAACTTAGATCCGCCAACCGGAAACGCCACCGTACTCATGTTTTAGCTATTTCATGGTTGTTTATAGAAAATGAAAGTAGACTTTTAATTTAATGTACGATACTTACTATGCGAGTGAAATCTAAACATAGTTTACGGACATCAGCTTGTATTTAGTGTATTGTTAGAGGAGTAAGTAAGAACTCTAGTGCACCCGTTTCGGAGTTTATTTGCAAAATTTATTAATTTATAAGTATAGATTTGCATATTTCATTACACCTTTTCAACTCAAAAGACTCCAAACTGACTCCAGTAGAATTTAGAAATATACATGAATGTAATGCTGATTACAAAATTCAGATGAAACACGGTGCTGGGGGGGGGGGGTAGGCTGTGTTTGGACGCAGGGAATCCAATTGGAAAGTTCTGTGAAATAGTAACTAAAGAAACATATTTGACACAAAAGTGACATTAATTCAACCTTCATTACCTTCATGAATGACAATTGCTGAAGGTTTAATGAATGAAGAATAAATTTTGAATTTAAAAAAAAATTACATTGAAGTGATTTGTCTTTCCTATACAGTTAAATACAATATTTATTCAATATATTCAATATTAAAAAAAAACATATCATATTTATTGAAAAAAAAACAACAATTTTTTCAAAGAGGAACGAAATTGCCTACAAAATAAACGTCATTGAAGAAATGGAAAGGAAAATTGGGAAATTGTTTATAATGTTGCATATTTTATATTAACGTAACAATTTCCAATAAAATTCTTAGTCATAAAGTCCATCCTTATGACAAGTTATCAGTGTACACTATAATGCAACTGAGATATCTACAATTTAACAAATAAAAAAATTATACATATAAATTTACATAACCTATTACATATTTAGTGTGAATAGACACACTTAGTGTGAATAGACACACTTAGTGTGAATAGACAATAAGATGAACTTTATCATATAATATGATATATCTGCCATAAAGAGGAGGGGGAGATTTGATTTTCTTGTTTTCGTACCAAATTGAACTCTCTCTCTCTCATGTATCGGTACCTCCGATCACTGTCAATTGTTTGGAATTGCTTGGTATTTTAATGTGTGTTCCGTTGTTTCTCTTGAAATGACGGCTCTATATTCTCCCTCGTCTTCTTTTGATACGTTTGATATCACTAAACATCTATTAGAACTTCCCCAATACTTCTCTTTACTTGTGTCGAGTTGTTCTGTTCTATTTCCCTGTATTTTCTCTCACGTGATTGGCCAGTTATTCAAGGGTGAACATTTTTCTAATACAGCTTCAAAGTAGGTCTTTTCACCGCAAAAAATTTCATCGTTTCCACGTATTGTAATTGAAGGACTAATCATAGCTAATATAAAGATATTGGAATTAAGTAGACAATATTGAGTATAAAGTAGTATTTTTATCACACTTACCATTTTCGTCATTCTCCTTTAAAATATGCAGAATTCCTTCTAAAATAATTTTGTATTTTTCCATATCCTCGAAACCAAAGTCACTCTTTTCTATGGTTGCCAGTTTCTTTCCGTAGTCAACTGAGATTCCTTTTGACTTAAGAAACGTTTGCATCCTCTGGAATATCTGTTCTAAATCCTGCCATTTGGAAGTAAAAACGACATCTTCTACACAAGAAGAATCCAAGTGTGCAAACATCTCGTTTCTAAATACTCTGAGGCGTTCAATGTCATCTCCGATCTGAAACTCTGTTATAGAAGGTGGTTTACCCCAATCCTGAGTTGGCTTTAATTGTGGACACAGGTTTCGTATGAGTGTATATAACAAAGAAACATCAAACTTGTTGTAGTCAGGAACAGCAGGAGGAGACGGACAACAAAGTCTCTGTTGTTCTGGCCTCAGTTTGTGTCTCCCTGTTGTCAATTCTGAGCAGGAGGTTATGGATTTGGGCAAATCTTGAGGTTTAATCTCACATCTTAAAATGTCAGCTAAAACTACTTTGATCTCGTCCACACTTGCTATTCCCATACGAGTGAAGTTCAGTTGATCACCAGCCAGAATATTTGAAGCCATTGTCAAAATAAGTAAACTTTCTAACAAATCTTCATTATTTTGTCATATTCCTCACACATTTTCTCCCGCTCCTAATTGACCGCTGAATGAAAAAGGTCCCTAAAAATTATATCAAAAAAATTAACACATGTATGAATAAGTAACGAGTGTTTCGAGGGGTCTGATTTTGTCCTCTTCAAAATTCATTTTGTTTACTGGATGTATGGGATTGATCATAGTTCATTATCTTAAGTTTTAACATTACATGTTATAATGTATCAATAAATACAAGCTAGAGGCCTTAACGATTACCTGGGTACTCTGGCTTTCACAATTACTTAGCCCCTCCTGAAACTCCAAACAATTTATTTGATGGATGTTCAAGAAGAGTAAATAAGAGGGCTATGCGTTTACTATTGTAATGATTAGTGAAAATGCAAAGGAGACCGTGATGTAGGGTTAAAATGGAATAAGCTGTCCTCCCTCAAAGTAGACTAATCTGAAGGGTATGAAATAGACCGCATTCAGAATTTCAGTAAGTTCGGATGGTAGACGGCTATTGGTAAGGCGGAAGAATAGCAATAATCTAATCTAAGAAAGGGTAAATAGGTTAGCACCAGTGACAAGAATCCCGTGGAAGTAAGGGGAGATACTGGTTGCTGTTGATCTGAATAAGAACGAAATATCTAGTATCTGCTATCAAAAGGAACCAGGGGCAAGGTACACGGTGCTAAGCCCAAGAGTTACCAAGTCATTAGAATTCAGCCCACCTCATTTAATCCGTGATTAACGATAATAGAAAAAGCAAAATAGGTTTAAGAAAAATTATTAAACTGTACATAGTTAAATTATTAAACTGTACATAGTTAAATGCTTGATCATAAACTCAGGTAGAGTAAGAGGAAAAATTATCCCTTCTACCAGGGGTACACATTACACTTCAATATACAAAAAGTATATCTGAGCTCTACAAACGGCAGTCATGAATTTACAATTTTGGTAGAGGGATAGCTGTTAATTATTATTAAATGATTAGTTTGCCTACCGAATGTCCTTTAAAAAATAAGATTTTCAAAGAGTAAATGTATTTTCAATACGTGACCAACATATCCCAACTTCTCCACCCAGGAGCCATAAACTTTATAAATTTGACAAAGAAATAAGTAAATTGTAATCATGCCAATTCTTTATCTGATAGATGTCCATGTGTAAAGATGATTTTCAAAATATAATGCATTTTCATTTGGTCGACAGCTAATATCACTATGCAATAGGCTTGTCTCTCTAGCGCAGATTTTTAAAGATTGCATTCCTCCTCCATGGCAATTAAAGGCCATAAAATTTAGAATTTCTGTTTCCTTTAAACAAAAGATGTATATACCGAAATTTGTTCAGTCGTTTTAGAGAAGAACCTAATTTTATCACAAGTGAAGGACTGACAGACAAGGACGGACAATTAAGGTTGACTCAGTTGGTATTAAAGGCCTTTATTGTCACCTGAGTAGTCAATTCAACCCGAACTTGGACTTGCATAAAGTGACATGAAGATTCCGTTTGTTCATTACAATAACTTAATCATGTTAAAATACGAGCAAAAAAGAAGTGATTTTGAGATATAATGTATTTACAATATACAGGTACATGCTTAGCGCCTCTGGGGCACCTGCTCATAATTGAGAAGGGACACAAACTTCACAATTGGATAAAAGTCCATAGTCATTAGGAAACAAGTTCCATATCCCCGTTCTGATGTAACACAATAAGCGTACAAATTATAATTTTAATTGATATATTAATTTTGTACATTGCGTTTATTAATATTTTAAATATTGTGTTTTGAATTATAATTGATACTATCAGTGTGTAGAGCGGCGGACGATAACATCTTAATTATGAACTTGTTTACAAACTCTGGGAGATTGGACACAATAAGAGAGCGTCTTCATTTGACGGACAATTAGTTTTTACGATGTGTTGTTCTCGAACATCGACACTTTTCACTCAGACTTTGTGCAAAGCTGCAACCATCTAATTAACTGAAGAATGTGCAAGATACACAATGTTAATGTAAACAGAGGACATTGCCGTATCCTATAAGGAGATGAGACAGCTTCAGTGAGGGGCGGACTTTATCAATATTAATGAAGTGACACTCTAACTATTAAACTAATTGTTGTTACCAAATATGTGATCCCTATGATGCAGCTTCTTGTACAAAAGATGTGCGCACTGAGTATCAATAGCTTTTTACCATCTTAGCTCTAAGAATGACTATGTGAGCTTTCACGTACCACCTTAGCTCCGAGACCGGCAGCCATTGAACTTTTTTATGTACCATTGTTTTGCCTTTGCTGTGACTTTATAATAAAACCATAAACTTACAAAAGTCTTCTTAATCCAAACACATTGAGTAATTGTGTTATACTGATACCTGAACACACGCGGGGGGTATATTTTAGGAATTGAGTGAAAGTGGTTAAATACTTGTCAATTTGACAAATGACAGCCTTTGTAAATTAGAAAGACTGTGTTTCAAAGATTTTCCCTGTATTGATAAACATAAAACTTAATAAATAGCGATAGATCACCTGATAAACCTAAGGTGAAATGTTTGAATCACTTGATTTCTGACCAACCCCTGGGGTTTCTTTGTAATGTTATTTAACTATACAAATGTTGATCAAAATTCAAAGCGAAGGAAGAATTATCAATGTTTTACATAAATACTTATTACCTCTTCATTGCTTACTCATTTTCGTGCCAATTAACAATCCTTGACCATAAATCTCTACAAAAAACCATAGAGAAAAACTAAAACATTTCACACGTGCTTCGTCATTGGAACTTCATGTTCGGTAGATCAAAAAGTTCAAACCGAAAGTAGAAATTTTGTAATACTAATTATTTCCTTTTAGACCACTCATTTCAGTACCAATATATGTTCCTTATTCTTAATTTCTCCTCAAAATAACCATCGCAAAGGAGGTCGCAGCGAGTCCTAGATTATAATCAAAGTACTAGAAGTACTGGTAAAAGTATTTCGAAATAGAATCTAAGTACTGGAAGTACTGTTAGTTACGGAAGCCGGTAGGTGCCAGGTAGAAAAATATTTTATCTGGCGGCCGCCAAATAATTTTCTGGCGGCCGCCAGATAAAAAGATCTGGCGGCCGCCAGATAAGTTATCTGGCGGCTGCCAGAAAATTATTTGGCGGCCGCCAGTTATTTATCTGGCGGCTGCCACAAAATTATTTGGCGGCCGCCAGATAAAATATTTTTTCTACCTGGCACCAACCGGCTTCCGTAGTTAGTTGTGGCATGGGTTTTTTTGTTTGTTTGTTTGTTTCTTTATTGTTTAACGTCCCTCTCGAAAATTTTTCACTCATTTGGAGACGCCACCACTTGCTGGTGGAGAGCTGCAAATTTATACCTATACTCGGCACTCAAGGCCATTGAGTAGTGAGTGATCGTTTTCGTGTCAACACCTACTGCGACACGGGAACTCGATTTATACGGTTTCATCCGAAGGACCGGTCTCAACGCCCCGCAGTGGATTTGAATCAGCAATGTAAGGATCAGCTCCTTACTTCGCGACTCTAGAGCAGAAGCTCTAATCACTGCGTCATGCCGGCGACGATGCGGCATGTAATACGTATTATAAACTGTGAATTATTTAATCACACCTCTGATTTATTAGAGGATCGTGTGTTCTCTTCTTTCAATTTGTATTGTTTTAATGACTTTTCAGCTTGATTACAGATTGTTTACTTCATACCTTATTTATCCAATCATATCAACTGATCATATTTAAAATATTCAATGTCATTTACTAAACTCATGTTCAATAAGATTTTGAAGGTTTTGGTCTTCTTTAAAGAGATGATCTTACATATTAATATATAACTTAATTTTGGTTGTAACGCGTCATTTCATTGGATAAAAAAAATTAGAATAAATCGTAAAACCTGGACTGCCTATGTCACAATGACTTACGTCAAAATGTATCAATCCGCTTGACGTTTCATTGAAAATACGTACAATTTGAAGGCATTTTTTAAGGAGAAATTGTCTTATTTTTCCACTTAATGATGGAAAATTAAATTATAAGGAATGAATTTAATAGCTACCCAAGTTATACTGATATAACCTGGGTTGGAACAGTTTACCCTTTTTTATAAACCGCTTCGCCACAACCCAGGTTATACTAGTATAACTTGGGTAGGTATTAAGGACAAGGTTCCTGGTTATCGTATAGAATTTTTCAAGAACTCTTGAGTAGGTTTAAATGTACTAAACAGGCTATATTCTCAAAAATAATGATCGGTGCCGGTATATCTATGTTTTGTTTCAATATATAAATTTTCAGCCAAGATATATAGAAGTCATAGGAAATGAAGATACAGTAATGTATATAATACAAAAACTGTACGAAATAAGTGGGTTTTGGAAAATATTATTTTGAAAATTTATGTAGGTCCCATTTATCAACATTTTACATGGGAAATGCATTGAGATTTGTAAAAACACTGATTTGACAAAATCTAAAAAAGAATGTTGGCTTGGTAGGATAAACGATCCAGAATATAGCCTTTTTAGTACATTTAAACCTACTCAAGAGTTCTTGAAAAAATCTATACGATAACCAGGAACCTTGCCAATGCCAACTCTTTAGATTTTAAAACCAGGAGACATACATCTCTTAGGTATGAATATATTTTACATATAGTACACAATAGAACATTTCATATGAGCAAAATATATGTATAATATTAAGTATGAATAAAGCATTTATAAATCCAACAGTTCATTTCCTAATATGTTTGCATAACATATATATTTTCCAAGGTTACACATTTCCTTTGTATTTGAACTGGTCAACAATTGAATTACGGTAGTTTATAAACACTTGAGCGGCAGACATAATAGTTTCTGACGTACTTTTTTCTCAAATGTTCATAGTTTGGGCATTTAAGTATAAAATGAAATTCATCTTCTAAATCACCCGTAGAACAAAGATAATATTTTCTAAAATTCCTAGGTATATCATTATATCTTTCGATTTCAATTTTTAAATCACGATTAAAGAATC